GATCGTGCGGGTACCGTCTATGTTCCAGGTGGGGAGTGGGAATTTTTTTAGTATTTTTCCAGTGTCATTGGGGTCCATATAGTATTAATAACCAGAAGAATTCAATATTTAAAGATAAAAATAATTCGGGTCTTAAAGGGATATACCGAAGGTGGTTCTGCTATTTTAAAAAAAAACTATCACTCGCTTCTCATGATTTTGAATGGTGATTTTAACTTTAACATCAGTTTGCCAAAAGCTGAACCGTCCATGGCTTTTCGGAATAATGAGCTCATGCACGAAATGAACACAAATCAAAATGTTTCGTCTAACGTGGTACTGTTATTGGTGCTTTTTTTCAACGGTTTTTATAAATACTTTGAATTCACAAGTATATGTGTCATATTTTAGTTATTACAAGTCTATTATCTCCGCTCTTCCTTAAATTGAACAATAATAATTATTTTTGATAAAAAATTGCATGTTTTACTCCTTGTGTTAATTAAATAAAATTTTCATTAGAGATATAGTTATTCGATAGAAAATTATTTCCAATCATACTCCATTCATTTTTTTCAGGATATAAGTTACTATTGCGTATTTACCACGACAACACGTCAGATGTTACACATCATATGGGACTACTTTAAGGCTCGTTTCTTTTTTAAATATTTCTCTACTCTGATATAATAAAATATGAATAAATAAATCCACTTCTAAATTATATGTGACATGCAGCCAAAAGCAACGCAGTCTTCGCGCGCAGGCGCAATGAATCGGAACTGAAACTTGTGAATTAGTGGAAGAGAAACAAAAACTAAAAGACATTAGAGAGCAGAGAGAAAGGAGAACGCGAGGTGCGCGCGAGCAGGCGTTACCTTCTGAAAATCATCGTCAATCTTATCTGTAACCACAACTACCTTTTTAATTAATTTTTGTTTAATGTTAAAATAAAATAGAAGATAGACCAACGTCTTGGACCCCTTGTTGTCTCCCACAAATTATGGGGGCTCGGCCGGGATGGATCGATAAAATTTCGATTTTGAACCAAAGTCTGGACAATGAACAACAGCGTCCGTGAAGGAGACGCTCCGCCATTTTTCGAAAACTTCGTTCAACCTGTGTAGAGGTTGAATTTTTTCAACTTCATTCCGCCTGTGTAGAGGTCGGAACAAATAACAAAATAACCTGTGTAGAGGTGTACATCGACAAATATTCCGCCTGTGTAGAGGTTGGAAAACCCATCGACGAAAATCCCGCCTGTGTAGAGGCCGGAACTACAATTTCAACTATATTACCTGCGAAGAGGTGAAATCAGTGGAATCGAAATTTTTCTTCATTGGATACATCGTACGTGCGAGCAACAAGTGAGCCAGAAAAAAAAAAAAAAAAAAGGTAGGATCTTTCCATTTCTAAAATGTATAAAAACGCTCTTAAAGAGGATCTCATAAGAGTTGTTCAGGAGCTAGACGGTATTGTCGAAAGTACTGACACTATAGTTAAACTAAAGACTAAAATTGAGAACAGTAGTACATTTGAAAGTGATCCAGATTTCGTTAAAACTTTAATTCAAAACTGTATAGATGAGAGAGTATCGCAAAACGAAAGAGAGGTAACTTCAGAACAAAAAATTGAGCTCGCGAAACTTCAGTTAGCAAAATTAGAAAAAGAAATCGAACTACAATTGGCTAAAAATAAAGCATTAAGTTTAAATCCTGCAGCTAAAGTCGAAGAAAAACAGTTCGAAACTAACATAGAAAATATGATAAAAAGTATAAAAACTTTATCTCTTCCTGTTCCCACCAGATCTGAAAATTTTAATCTGTTCTTCCAATCATTAGAACGCGCATTTTTAACCAAGAAAATAAATGACGAATATAAATCTGAAATTCTAATAAATCTTCTGGGCGAAAGAGCTCATAACGTCTTACTATATATTAAAGAAGAGGAATTAAATGACTATGAAAAACTAAAATCTATAGTACTCAGAGAATTCCAATTAACCCCTCGCGAGTGTTTAAACTCATTTAAAAATGCTGTAAAATCATCAGGCGAGACATACATCCAATTTGCTGCAAGATTGACGGCAAACTTCCAATATTATTGTTCGTTAAGAAAAGTTAATTCCTTTGAATCTCTATGTGATCTTATAATTTCTGATAAATTATTTGAAACTTTAAATAAGGAAACTGCAACTCATATTGGCATTCGAGAAGCAGAAGATTGGTTTAGGCCTATTGATTTAGCTAAAGAGTGTGATATTTATATTTCATCTAGAAGCGGATCACATAAAGAAATTCCTATTACTTATGGATATACCCAAGACCCCTTTAAAAATAAATCACAAAACTTTAAACCAAAGATTAAAGAGAACTATCCCCAATATCTTGAAAGAGAAAATAAAAATTGCTTTATATGCGGTGATTCATCTCATTACGCAAGAGACTGTAAGAAGCGTTTTAAATCTAATGAGTCTAACAGCCACATCCGTAATAAAATAAACGTGAATACTTTGAAAATCGAGAGCGAAAAACAAAATAGCGGTGAATGCGCAAATCTTCAATACGTAAACATTTTTGTGGAAAATCAGCCCGTAACAGCTTTGATTGATTCAGGTTGCCAGATCCCAGTTTTAAATTCCTCACTAATTAGAGTGCAAACACCTTCCGAAGAGATCATAACATTAAGTTCATGTTTTGGCGAACAGCGTATGGTAGAAGTTTAACCCATAAATATTTCTCTTAATCAACACTCTACTAGCTTAAGTGTGCGAACGGCGATATCACCGACCTTGACCGAAGAATTTATTATACATCCCAGTGTATATTCTGAAATAGAGAAACTAGGCCACGCAAAGAGCGATGTTTTATTGAGTGAAAGTGGATCCTCTTTGAGTGTAGATTGTGCTATTTCTTTTCCAAATGTTTCTGTTTCAAATGTGATAAAAAACTGTAGTTATGATTTGCCATATGTTAAGAACTTTAATACTGGAAATGATTCGAGTTCTCTAATTAAGGATTATAAATGTAATAAAATTAAGATTACTAAGTTAAAATTGAGTATTGTAAGAGAAAAATGTTCTGATATAGTATTGTGTAAGAAAGCCAATGGTGCCATGAAAACGAGTTCCGTGGAATTTATCTCCCGCTCACCTAACCCTTTACCTATGAAGAGTAAACATCATCGGTTTGTGTTGCTCCGAAGGATCTTCCAGCCCTGGCAGTGGAAACGAAGGAAAAAGAGAAATCGTTTTGAACAGACGTCCAGAACTCTACAGAGGAAAATATCGATGCGTTCAACTAAAGATCAACTTGTTAAAAAGACGTTTTCATGCCTGTGAAACACAATGTTTTCCTGTGGAACCTTCCGGATGTCGAAGAGATGCCTTCACATGATGGAGAAACTGTCTAGTTCAGAAAAATTATGATATGTTTAATCTCTATATATTTGTCGTATAGTCCTTGTCTGTTCCGTTTTTTTTGTATGTTTCAGATTCTCCTCTGGTCTCCATGGAAATACCGCTGCGGACAGCGTACGGTCAGAATGGCCGTTGTGACATGCAGCCAAAAGCAACGCAGTCTTCGCGCGCAGGCGCAATGAATCGGAACTGAAACTTGTGAATTAGTGGAAGAGAAACAAAAACTAAAAGACATTAGAGAGCAGAGAGAAAGGAGAACGCGAGAGGTGCGCGAGCAGGCGTTACCTTCTGAAAATCATCGTCAATCTTATCTGTAACCACAACTACCTTTTTAATTAATTTTTGTTTAATGTTAAAATAAAATAGAAGATAGACCAACGTCTTGGACCCCTTGTTGTCTCCCACATATATATTTCAAGTTTTAATTTAACACCGGAATAGAAATAGCTATATATAGGTAAAATAGTATCATAGAAGTATTTTTCATAAAAGGAGAATGTTTTGAACTTATTTTATTTTTTCTTCATTTTTTTTTTTCAAAACATTGCTAAATAACTTTTCTTGTAACAATAATAGTAAAACAATTTTATCTATGTATATATTCTAGTTCTCAACTGACGCTAAATATCAAAACAAATAGCCATTTATACGTTCTTTCGAAATCACGGTTTTGAACGTAGTCAGTGATCTTAAATTAATCGTACTTTTACCTTGCGCAACGCAATTACCCAACATTTTTACTAAATAATTAAAAAACCAAAATGTTTTTTATACATCATGGAAGTGAAAAAGAATTATTAAATATTTTCTTTTGGCTATCGGTATAGTAATAAAAAAAACATCTATGGTCAACTCTTTTTCCAATTTGCTCCAGTTTAAATTGTTTTACCATAAACAAACATTTCCAACATCACTAAGTGGCCGCGGTAGCCGAGTGGTATGGGTATCGGACCGTGGCTTGCCTTATCACGAGTTCGAGCCTAGTACCACTAAAGACCCGCCGTGTAGGGCAGCGATGCACGCTAAATCTGTCGAGAGCTGAAACGTCCTCCCGTTGGTGTGGTGTGGTAGTTAGGAGAGGGGGTGCCAGCTCAGGTGTCGTCCACGTCACTTGACCATGGTTCAAAATTACGTGGTTCGTCGCCAAAAGCCCTCGTGTAGCTAAACAGTGCGACGTTAATATTCAATCAATCAATCCAACATTACTAAAGGCGTAAACAGAGTACTTTTATTGGAAGGGTTATGTTTTTTTAAAAACACTTAGACACACACACAATATCGAGATGTAAGTTTTAAGATAACAAGTAAAATATAAAAAAAATTAAGTCAATTCCTATACTTAGGTCAACAAAGAAAAAATTTATGTCAGTTACTTTTTATTAAAGAGTTATAATTAATATAAATATGTATATACATATGACAGAACCATGATATTCAGTGACAAAATATAAAGCGATATTTTCCTTGCCATTTTTATATTTTCCTTTCTATATAGGGTGTTGGACTATTTTCATTTGTTTGTTACTATTTATTCATTAATTAAATTTAATTATTCTAATAAAATAATACAGTAAAAATGAAATCAGATTCTCAGAAATTAGGCTATCCCAGGTGGAAGTCGAATCCACGATTCTTGGATTAGAAGTCCAACACGCTATCCATTGCGCTACAGGGACACAATATATGGTCGTGGATTCATTATTTAAATTTAATTAATGAATTAATATTTGAAAAAACTGTATTTAACATCAAGTCTCATCCACTACAAGTTTTAAAAAAATGTATTTGAACTTGAAAGGGTGAATAGAAAGTATTTTATTAACGATTGAAAATTTGAACAAGATATATATATATAGAAATAAATACATATAAATAAATATATATAGGGATATAGTGAACTAATAGTAGGAATTGAAAAATTAAAATTCTGTTGGTCTGTATAGGAGGGGTTTGAAAACCCCAAACCCATTCTTTAGTACGACACAGAACATCACAAAAAAAAAAAAAAAAAAAAAATCTTCCACTCCGCACAGTTCCAAAAATTGAAGAAACCCTTTCCCAATTTGTTCTAAATTTTTTCACAAATCCACTTGTCCCCAAACAGACATTTCGGAATGACAATTAATCAAATGCCACTGGCCCTCCTGGAAGTCCAACCCTTCCTCGTCATTTGGGAGGAACAATAAACCATCCCCAGACTTAGGATGCGCGGTGTGTCTTGACTTTCTCTCCCAACACTTGTGTCCCAGTACCTAATTTAATTGGCACTGTGCCCGTTCGGAAACTCCTCTTCTCTCCCTACTCACCAGTTGTCACACACTTAAACAGTGCTTAGACAAGAATGCTTTATGACGTAGTGCCACACTCGATTCACGCTGTTGTGAGACTTCACGGTCTTAAAGGGATGGATGTTTGTGGTCGCTTAGAGATCATTTCAAGATAGCCACTGTGGAGGAATTCAGTGCTCTAATAAATAGTTTCTCATCAATTTGAAATGTAATGTTAAACACTGGAAGCAGTGGCGCACACAAGGGGGGGGGACACCTGGGGTCTGGACCACCCCAAAGCCCTTGATTTTTTTTTCCGATTGATTATAATTCTAAGTATATAGTACGTAAAATTTAATTAATTACTTGTTATTAATGATTAATTTTATTAATTAATGCTAATTATTTATTCAAAAATTAGTTTTTTACTGTGTTTTGTTCCCGAAAATCGACAAAATCAAAAAGAGTATGATAGAAGAACGGAGAACTTTCGACCCCGGAACCCCCCTGAAAAATTCCTGTGTGCGCCACTGGGTTAAACTGTATTATTATGTGATGACCACATTGTCCATGTCAAGGCCTAGGCCTAGTACCACAAACAAACTTTTAATTCATTTAGTCGAAATGAGGCCATCGGTCTAGCCCCGGGGTGGGCATTACGTTGATCGCGATCTACCGGCGGACCGCCAAGACATTTTGGGGTGACCGCCTGAAGATTTTAGTAGTTAGTAATTATATACGGAAATATTCAAAATTGACTGAAGTCTGCAGATTACGTTTTCTACTGATTATAACAACAAAAATTAACTTTAGATAAAAATGATTTTTTTTTAAAAATTTTTTTGATAATAAATGCATTTTTTAATCTCATTATGTTTGTGGCTGTTATTATGGTTGTATCTTGCGTTTTTTTTTTACTTTAAACGCGGTTTTAAAAGTGTTAGTTCTTTTTTTTAGTTCTGCAAGTAAGTACACATATTCCGTTTTTATTATTAAAATATTGTAGATCTTTTCCTACCTGCGGATGCATTGTCTTGGTGCAACAGCCATCACTCCTCAATTCTGGCCTCCCCCCCTAATTTTGTCATGAAGTCTTTTTAGTACTTCATTGTAGTAATGTTGATTACCAGTCTGATCACTGATGTGCGTGGAGACCCATTCGTATCACGAATTTTGGCAATGTTTAGGTTTGCAATAGCTTGCCTTGAGCGCCCAGCACATTCATCATCTTCCCCACTGTCATTTTCCTCTGAAAACCATTTATGCTATTCAAACACATGTGCACAAGGCAAAATTTCATCTCCATATGCCTCGGTTAATATTTGAAATATTTTCGTGCCTGGTTTCTTAAGTTTCACAAGGAACTTGATGTTGATTCGACATTTTTCCAGCAGAATGCAGTTGCACATTTTCACTCAATGACGCACTACTCCCAACTGGCGTGGTCGATTAAGGCGAAACTGGCCATATGGTTAGAGGAGTGTGGGGTGACGTCACCAAAACAGTTGTTGACAACTCCACTATTTTTTCGAGCTACACACTTAGTCTCGTTTTTTTTTGGTGTGTGTCACACCTTGTAGATAAACCACCACAGGAACAACTGACATGTCACAAAGTAGTTGATTCTTCCTCTGTCTTATGTTCAATAAGCATGGAATCGGTTGATGCAGAGGTGAGCAAATAGGGGTCTGTAGAGTTTTCTTGCTGGCCGTCAAGACAATCAGAAAAGGTGACAGGGTACATTTGTCCAATTAAACTGATACTAAAATTAAATGCGCTTGCAGCTTTAGATATTATGAAATTTGTAGAGAAAATAAACTAAATAAAATTGCCACTATTTTATTTAAATTACATTATTATTAATTTTTATATGGAACAATTTATACCTTTTACGAGACGCAAAGTTAAGTAATGAATGCAATCATTTGAAAAAGGTGCGGCTCTCCAGTATCTTCCGTCTTCACAATGTGGCCCTTGAGCCAAAATGCCCCCTGGTTTAATAGATTGGCACACTGCACCGATAACAGCAGTGGTTCTTAATTAAATTTCAAAACAAATAAATTTCTCTCTCTGCCTTTTCAGCTACTCCTCTTAATCAGGGGTACTCAATCTTTTCCCCTGCCGGGCTACCCATAAATGCAACGGTACTCTGCTTGGGTAATCAAAATTCAGTATAACATATGATTTCCACAGATCTCCGTTGAAACTGTGTGGGAACCCCCTGGGTTCCACCCTGGACACTAAGCTTAATTTGAGGCAAAGAATGACCAAACGCCATTTGTATAATAATAACTTACATTTATTCACTTGATTCAAATATCACAAACTCTAATGACAAATAGTATCTATATGTCTATGTCAAACAAAAGGGATTTAACTTTAATATTAAATTAAATTACGAAATAGGAAATTAATCAATAACTACGTGCAATATTAAAAAGGTTTATCTGAATAGGAGGTCTGAGAAATACATGCAACTTGAATTAGTAGCTTTCATTAGCTTAAACTAATTTTATTAAACTAACGCTTGTGGTAAGCGGTATTAAACTAGAATATATCACCTGGTAGTACTTATGATCTCTTCAGATATATGAACCTCCTAAGGTTCCTTCTCTGAATACTCACAGCAATGCTCCACTATCGTAATCCAATTGAATCCTATAAACTTTGTCATTACTGCTGCTGGCTCAGTAGCCTTCTTCTCCGCTAACTTACAACGCTCTCCTTAAATACCCATCTACTTAACATATCCCATTTTCTCCTTTTAGAGTTGATTGGAAATATACGCAAATTTACAATCTCCAAAGACGCCTAAGAATATTAGTGAAAAGGTGCCGTACAGATTCACAACTGTACTTTTTTCGAATGCATTTAATTTGTATCGAGGTACAGTGGCGTAGACAAGGAGAAATGAAGAGTTTAGCTCCCCCTCCTCATCATAGACCAACCAAAATAGACAAAAAAATGCTGGATCAGTAGTTAATATATCCTATAAATCAGGAGGTAATAGAACATATCTTATAATTCCGAATATTAGAACCAAGGAGATGGGACATTTTAAAATTAAAAGTTCAATGAACTGAAATGCAAATCTGTTATATTTTGTAAATCTGTCGCTGACTTAGGAAAGTGGTGTAGGGTTCATATTTATGTAATAGAGAAAGAGAGAGAGGGAGAAGAGAGAAAGATTGATAAGAATAACAGATAAAGTCAGTATAATTATTTAACTTACAACACACAGATACATTAAGTAAGAAATATAGTGAAATAGTAATTAATTATAGTAAGATATTAGTAACAGTAATACAAGAGAAAACTTTGAGCTGCGAATTAGATCTTTAAAAATTCATCTGAGTAGATTTTACTTATAGAGACAGCCTCAAATTAGATATCTACGATTGATTAACTTGATTTAAAATCGGATGTTTATTTATGTTGACACAATGAATACACACAAACACATGTTTTTTTTAAATCAGATTATAATTACGTTTTATATTATCATATAAAACGTAAAACCTATATTTATTACAGTTTATTCTTTTGATGATTCTACATATTTCTTAAATGTTTGAAAAGATAAAGTAATAAATGTGATATATTGTAGAAAAAATTCTCATAACTAAATAAAACTAACATTCCTTTTTTTTTAAAGTACAGTAAAAAATGCATAGTTCTTCAAATTTAATATCGTTTTCCTACGCTCCTTAACTTTTGCTGGTTAAAATGACATATGATTTTTAACCAGACATCTTCATATCGAGGTCATACGTAAATATTTTAATTTTCTCATTGTAAATGTACGCTCGCATCATAAGGGCGAGGGAAGGGGAGAGTATTCTTCCTTCTCTTTTATTTAATTATTTCCGTCTTTTTGTCCAGAACATATTCAGATCTTCGCTAACAACGTAGTGTAATATCAATTTAAGTAAATAAAACTGAATTTAAATAATTATTTTCTAACTTATTATTTCTAAAATGAAGGAGAAGGATGTGAGAATCCATGAAAGATTTTCGAGAGGTTACAACTCAACGTATCGCAAGTTAAATAATACATGGATATGAATAGTGTACCAAGAAGAATTATAGCATATAATTACAGTTTATTAAAAACAGATATATTGCAGAAAAAAATTCATAAGTTTATAAAAAAAAGCGTTACCTCTTAAAAGTTAAAATTATATTTAAAGCAAGCTAAGAAGTTTTCCAAGTTTATGAAAAGTAGTTTAGACATATATATATATATACATACCTAATATATCTTATTTTTTCCCCAAAGTTCCAAATTATGGTTTTTAGAAGGTAGCCATGAAAAAGTTGCAACAAAGGACCGAATGCGCAAATAATAAAAAAGAACGGAATGCGCAAGAAAATGTGAAGACATAAAAAAATAAGAATTCATGATTATC